TAGTCTTTTTTGAGGGGTTAAAATAACATTGCATTAAATTCAATAAAACCAACATATTAACCAGTGCTAAAAAATATATTTTTAAATATTATTTGCAGGGTGAAGTTGAAAATTTAGAAATTTAGCATATAATTTAATTGCTATGGAAAAAATTGTTCATTAAAAAATACATATAATAAAAGAAGAACTAAAAATAAAATATTTATTTGAACTTTAAGAATGGCACAGAATTCTCTTTCAACTAAATTACAACTCAAATCTCAGTGTCGCTGTTATTTTGATAAAACGGTTTAAATTAGTGTTTTAAAATATGTTTCATAAAATTCTACCAAATTTAATACAAAACACATCAAAAACTCTAACGGGTTTTTAAATCTAAAAATCCCGCAAATCATAAATGGTTATGATTCAAATATAAAAAGTGCATATACATATCTAAATGCATTACAAATAAAATTTGATGAAGTAAAATGATAAACTTTAAAAAAAAATCATTTTTCTTTAAGCTTTTATGAGTTCCAGTGGTTAAGCAAACCATTTATGTAAAATTCGATTTGTATTTGACTTATAAATTATTGCGCTACAATATTGTAAGTAATTGTTTTCGAAATAAACCCCATCATTTGCATTATAAAGTTGTACAAAAATATGTTTCCTTTGACAATAAAAAATCACTTTTGCATTCCATTTTATTTAAAGTGCACTGCCCTTCCGTTGGCTTTCACTTTGCCAAAACCACAATCCCTGAAACTTTCGCACCTGTGTCGGATGACCAGGGAACCTCGGGAACCGGCAAGTGCAGGACTCCGACCACTACCACCACAACTTCCACCTCCCAGAGCTGAAATAAAAACCAATGTCTAACCCTTTTTTCGTTTAATTGCTATGCCAGATCATAGCCATCAGTCCGTTGCCGCAAAAAAAAGTAACTGACAACAATCCTATAGGATTGTATACAATCCGAGTCCTCCTACCCGAGTCAATGGTTGTATCACATGCATAAATTATCGTAACTGTAACACTCGAGCATGTTTCAGTTCATTAGGGGACAGTTTTCGACCTTAACCCTTCTCCGCGAGCTGCTCTATTCCTGTGTCCATATGCAAAATAATGCCACATCATTAGTGCGACGACCATCAGTGGGAAAGGGTTGCAAGTGGGGCACGTGTCGGGCACCGGCTGCAAGTCCTTCGATTCGGGACTTTTTTGCCCTTGCCCAACCCAGAAATCGTGTTTTTCTCTGGTTTTGCATATGCCGATGTTCACAGCATCATGTGAATTAGATTCTACAGCTTTTCATTGTCGCAGGTCAAAGGGTTACAGGGCATAAGCAAAACTGTCTAGTCATACAAGTCTGTGATTTTAATACTCGTTATTCGTACGACAAAGGGGTAAATTGTATTTGATTGAGATAAGAATTGCGACCCTATCACAATTACAATGTATATTTCGATAAAAGCAATGAATATAAAGATATATTCTTTAAAGAATAAGTTAGCAACAGCTTAAGGCCAATTTAACGTGAATGATAATTTAGTCCAGCTTATTGTACTGCACGCTGTTTTCGAATTTGATGTTGAGTATACATTATATTTTCCCTAAAAGTTCGTTCTATTTGGGATGCCCCGCCTCCCGTTTCTTGCAAAACGCCTCTTCTTCCCAGCCTGTGATTTTTTCCCACACATCAGGGAAACCACAGAAAAATGTTGACCTTGTTTAGTTTTGGCAAAAAAAAAAAAACCAACAGAATCGGCGATCCATCTGGGCAAGGCCAGTTACCTGGCCAGGATCCCGAGATGAGGAGATCGAAGGGCGAAATTTGGACAGGTACTCACGCTTTGGCCACTCATAAGTCACGGCTTCGTTTTCCAGCCAAAGGAGTTGCAGGGCACCCATAAATCAGCGCCTCATAGAGGGAACACGAGCAACAGTTCAACGGTTCGGCTCGCATATCTCTAATAATGATATCAGGGCACACTCTGTGGGGATACTGCTGTCTGATTGCCTCTTCGACGGCTTCCCCAAAAGCGGTGGACTTTTCTCAGGCCCCTTTCCCTTTCATGGCCCCAGCAGGCGAGGCATCGTGACACCATCTCCATATCCATTTTCAACTGCTTCAACCTGGACCAAAGATAATTCGAAGATAGCCCTCCGTTCAGTCATCCTCTTTCCTCACCCGCAACACAGTTATTACACTGAAACATATAGAAGAAGCCTTTTGTAAAAAATCTTACATAATCTAAAAATACTTTGGTATCACAACAAACATAAAATATGTACATAATAAATAAAAACATAACCTTTTCCATAATACGAATACAATGTGGTTGCGAGAAACTTATAATTCTTTTATGTTCTAAGAATTTTAAAATACTATATTCCTTTTATTAAAATGTATACATTTTTCTAGATGTGTACTGCATTACAATTGCAACTCAATTACAGCTTTGAGTAAGCAAAGAAAAAAGCACCAAAATGATAAAAGCTAAGCCTGCCTCTTTAATCTTCAATTCCTTTTGCTCTTCCACAAATAGAGTAAACACCAAAAAGTGCAAGGAGAAGTCCACAATTAGATGAGCGTATACGGATACTCTCACCCTGTTTCTATTCCACGACGCGATAAATACAGACATGGGCGTAGTAAGAGGGATAAAGTTATGCTTCCTCAAAAATCCAAAAGGTTTTTAAATTTCTTGAAAACTAGTAATATTAGTAGGGAAAAGGTTATTGGCACAGATTATTTTTTTCTATACTACCCCCCCTGGTGGTATCTGATCCGAAAAGTTCAAGTTAGGTACACCAATTGCTGACTATGCCCATGGCGTAGCCTATATGCATACGAGCAGAAGAAACTGCGACAATGATGATGGTTCTGATGATGATGATGATGGTGATGATGACGATGATCAAGCGACGATGTGATTGAAACAAAACATCTTATTATTACCTTCGACCGGCCAAAGGAACGACCCCGTGCGACCTCGACGTAAAAACAACAAGCGAAAAAAACAAAACACAGAGAGTGCGCAAAAAAAGTTCCCACGCTCAGTGGCCAGAAGAGGCAGCCTTTTGTCGTCTCCGTCTCCTCCGCATCATCATCGCCATCACCATCACCATTATCATCATCGTGGTTCGGCTCTCCATCTCCGTCGTGCCATATAAGGCAACGTCCTTCCAACGCCCCTTCCAGCCCCCCATTCCAGAGTTTGCGTTTGCGAAAAAAAGTGAACAGTGTCGAAATTTCTGCGCCTTTGTGATTTTCCTTCCCCTTTCCTTTAATACGACTCGTCGTAGGCTGGCCAAAGACGCCTGCGTGATTGATTTCACTCTGCCCCCCCCCGAAATGCCGAACATAATTTCTTAACTTTCACAGCTCATTGAGCTTGAAAAGTCACTCACACGGGGACAGCTTGACAATTGACAGGTAGGGGTATCAAGTGGTTAGGGCTCATAATTATAGTTTTTAGTGATGCGTAAAATGTGAACCGAGGCTGGGATTTTCGGCTATTCCCTTTGGAGTTTCTGACCCGGAGATGCACCAAAAAAGATTTTTCTAGGGATATTTAAACCATTAAATGTTTGCATTGAACAATGGAGTTCGCTGTACATACTACCAAACTTACATAGCTTGAGTTATAAGACTTCAAGTTTTATAATTTATTTTACCTGTATTTATACTTTTCAAAACCAATAAACAAAATAAATATGTGGAACTAATATATATATAGATTGTGAGTTAGGAGAGTTCGGGGTAAACAAGTTTCAAAGAATTTAGAAAAAATTGAACAATATTTTCCTTGCAATATTTAGTCATATTATTTAAAAAAAAAAAATTAGTTCAAAAGGCAGTTTTCATAACTTAAATTAATACTTATTTTTGGTGCAGAACGAATAATTATATTTTTCTTGGTGCAGTCAAGTGTGCTGGTCATGGGACCGTCATCAGGTTTATGATAATATTTTAAGGTAACCACAAAAATGGCATCCCATCCAGTCTAATCAAACTTTTTGGCCATTGAGCCAGATTATTTTACATTTCATTAATGTGTCGAAAAAGGGAAATACTTTCAATGAAAGCGGCTCCCAGGGCCAGCTGCCTGAGTTCCCCGTCATCATCATTATCATTATCATCTGTGGAGCGGAGTTCACGTCCAGGGAATCTGGAATCTGTGGTATTGATCAGTGCTGCGCAATTAACTTACAAACTTATGATTTTGATGATGTTACCGAATGGGTGGTGGACACAAACCACCACACTCATGTACAGCAGCAACACCAACAGGTTGACAGGACCTACCGTTCCGATTCCATTTCGTACCGATGCACTGGAAAACTTGGTTTGAAAGTTTCAAGTTATAATTTCAATATAATAATATTTGTTTTGGAACAATTGTTTAGCGTTATTTTTGTCAGTTTTATTATAAATTTTGTGTTATTTATTTAAAAACAAGTGTTTATTTAAATAAAAATAAATAAAAATCCTTGATTTGTATAATTAAAAAAAAAAACCATTCAGAAATTAGGTACTTTAAGCTTACAATTTATTTATGTTCATGTAAATCAGAAAAATCAAATGTTTCTAATATAAGTGGATAAAAAGGGTTATTCCAAAATGTTTTTTTTTGACTACGATTTTGTTAGCTTAAAAATCTATTATTTTATACTTAATCTTATATGTACTTGTTAATTTTCTAATATATTCCCCTATTTTCTTTGAAATTGGAGAAGGTAAAAGATTTTATAAATATAACAAATGTATACAGTTTTTATTTGAGATTTTATCCTTGATTTCTTCATCTAAAGTTAAATCAACTGCTCAGTTTTTGTCCCAGTGCAGGGGTTGTGAATCCACCACTGCGTCGGTGGAGTGGGCAGTCGAGTCGCTGCCGCCGCAGGGTGGTGGTGGTGAGTTGCAACTTCAACTTGTTCCTGAGGGCTGCGGCGAACTAACCTGACTGACTGACACTGACTCGCTTCGGTTATTCGTTCTCCACTCGCGCTTGACTACGGACGTGTTTTCGGTTCGAAGTCAAAGTCATTAAAACATCGCAACGGATCGGTCGCCGCCTCGAATCGGTTGAAGGTTCAGAAACTCGTCAATTGACATAAATTGAGTGCAATTTGCAGAGTGCGAAATGTGTGTGTCTAACTGAGCCAAGAAATTCGCTAAATTCTCCGTCTTGTCGCGTGTGTTCAGTTCACTTTGTCAGCTTAATTAGAGAACATAAACAAATCGCATTCAGCATCCGCGATGGCCGACGAGAGTCTGCACACCATGCCGCTGGAGCACAACATCGACTACCATATCGTGACGTTGTTTGAGCGCCTGGAGGCGATGCGCAAGGATTCGCACGGCGGAGGCCACGGGGTCAACAATCGGCTGTCCAGCACCCTGCAGGCGCCCAAACGCAACATGCAGGCCGAGATTCGCACGCTGGAGTTCTGGAGGTGAGTCTGTCCCAGCACTTATGGGAAAAAAACACATGAACATTGTGACAAAAAGTCATGACTTGCAAAGTAAAACTTAAATATTAGTTCTTAAAGTCGAAGACATAACAAAACATAAGTTATATATTATTATTAAGGGTTCTTCAAAACATATGAAATGAAAATAAAGCATAACTTCTTTTAAGTCCTGCATATCTTAATGAATGCTTTTATCTGTTTATATATATATATATATATATTTATATATAAAAAAACATTTTACAATAATCAACCTGCTATTAGATTTCACTCATATAAGTCATCAGAAACATATTTGATAACGTATTTTTCCGTGTGTAAATCTACTTCGAACCTTTTGTTTTCATAGTCATTATCTGCACTTGCTTTCAATTTGCTCAACTTTAGACGGCAATTGTTAGATGTCATCTGGCTTTGTGTGAACTCTAAGTAATTGAAATCCAAGTGTTCTCCAGACGACATCATCAAGATAATCGCCAAACTAAACACGCTCAAAGTTTCGAGCACTTTGTGGCTCATACCGAGTCCTTGGCTCAAGGAACTGGGAAATAATTAACATTTCATCACGAGCTGATGGAGTTATTAAATCTTAGCCAGGAGCAATGCCTCTGAATAATTTTAAGACATGTCAAGCGCAAAAAGTTCAACTAAACTATGCGGCATTATAACTTCATTACCCCCTCACTGACTATAAAAATAACTAAAAGTTAATGGTACAGGGGTGCACATACGTACATAGTTTCAATTAAAGATGCACGACTGCAAAATCTGACTTCTGAATTTGTGAATTTATGGAAATTCATAAGTTTGATTTTTCGTTATCGTGCAGCGGGCGCCCGTTTTTTAAGTTTCACGCGAAAGCGAGTGGCCCCTCACGTTCAGCGGAAATCCAATGGACTCAGCGGCATTGCAGCTGCTCATCATACCGCTCCCCGTACCGCTCCCTGTCCCGCTTCCGACCCTCCCCATCAAGCGCCCCCAGCTTAATTGTCACTGCAATGCTTGAGGGCAACAAGAATGAGCTTTGTGTACAACTTGATTTGACAAATACAGTAAATATAAGCTGTCCTTAGCTCAAGGAACTTTAAAATAATTAACATTTCATCACGAGCTAATGGAGTAATTAAATCTTAGCCAGGAGCAATGACTCTGAATTCTTTTAAGATATGTCAAGCTAAAAAATTTCAACTAAACTATGCTGCATTATGACTTAATTTCCCCCTGAATGACTATTAAAAATAAATTTGAAGTTAATGGGGATAGTGGAGATAGGGTACACACACACGTACATAGTTCCAACTATAAAAGCACGACTGCAAAATCAATCTTTTGAATTTATGAATTTATGGAAATTCATCAGTACTTCGGATTGTTTGATATTTTGTTATCGTGCAGCGGACTCCTCTCTTTGAGTTCCACGCAAATGCGAGTGGCCCCTCACGTCCAGCGGGAATCAAATGGATTCAAGCGGCATTGCAGCTGCTCAACAGACCGCTCCCCGTACCGACCGCTCCCTAACCCAATCCAGACCCTCCCCATCAAGCGCCCCCTGCTTAATTGTCACTGCAATGCTTGAGGGCAACAAGAAAGAGCTTTGTGTGCAACTTGATTTGAGCAGTACGGTAAACATAAGCTAAGTTGATTCTTGTGAATTCTTAAACTCTCCTAGTATTAAAACCAACCATGACCTCGAGTTAAGCAGACTTAGACTTGTGTATTTATTTACAGGTCGTTAAAACCAATAAAAAAAATATATAAATTTGTATTATATGCAATCCCAGCTCTTTAAGTTTAACCTATTAATTAATGCACTAGTCACGAAAACTAATTATGTTCAGTATATCAAATATTAAAACTAAACCTAAGCACACAATATTTATAAGTTAAACAGTGCTATTCAATCTTATTACTATTCTGATTAAAACCTTTATTCCGATTTAACTTTCAAAGATTTAATACTATTTCAAGTTGCATAAACTAATAGATATTTTTTTTTGGTTTTCAAATTTGAAAGTAATTGTCTTTTAAGGATTTAAACTAGAGAGCCATTTGGTTGCTGAATTTAAAAGTAATTATATTTTAAGTAGGTTAGTTAAATTATGTTTAAAATAGTTATTTTCATTTAAGGTCTCAATTTTAACTTATAAAGGCTGTCGTCCAGTAATGGTTGTATACGTTAACGTTCCTTGCCGCTCTTAACCGATATTCACTGTACGCACTCCACATGCAGGCAGAAGGGCCACATGCAAACCAAACGCAGTTGCGGAACCGTCCTAACCCAGGCTTCGCCCTGCTCCTCCATTTCAGATCCATCATCAGCGAGTGTCTGGCCTCGTTCCTCTACGTGTTCATCGTTTGCGGTGCTGCCGCTGGAGTCGGCGTGGGTGCCAGTGTGTCGTCCGTGCTTTTGGCCACGGCTCTGGCCTCCGGACTGGCGATGGCTACCCTGACGCAGTGCTTCCTCCACATCTCGGGTAAGTTCGAGGAGACAGTAAACAAGAGCAGACCATAACAGAACGGGGTGACAAGTGTTTTTCGGGACCCTTGGACTTGCGTGGGAAACTCCCGTTTGCGATGGCGAGCCAAAGCAGCACTGAACACGAACCCCATTCATTGTTTGTTATATTTTCGAAAAGGCAATGCACTCAGTGCGGCTCCACCTACTCCACCTCCTTGGCATCTTATCGCCCCGGGCCAAGTTCCACCGCCTTCACTTATTTTCCCTTATTCCCTTGCATTTATTCTGGTATTTATGTATTTGTTCATTTGCGTTGACATTCAAGGCAATTAAACGTTCTTCAAAAAAAAAAAAAAAAATTAGTAAGACCAAAGTCAGGGAGAAACATGTGTTGTTGATTTGCCTTCGACTCCCCCATTTTGTGGTTCGCAATTCTCTGTTTTTTCACAGCCAATTGGTTGAGCATTAAGTTATGATGTTATCCACTGCCCCCATCTCATTTTCCATTCCCGATTGCCTTCCGTGGAAGTGTCAAAGTGATATTTAACGGTTTTCCCATTGGGTGGCCGCAAACGATTCCCGCAAGTATCTAAAGCTATTTTCCATGTTGCTCCCCTTTCAGGCGCCCACATCAATCCCGCCGTAACCCTGGCCCTCTGTGTAGTGCGATCTATATCTCCGATCAGGGCAGCCATGTACATTACCGCCCAATGTGGCGGCGGAATCGCTGGAGCAGCTCTCCTTTATGGGTAAGTCATAAATTCGGAAATCAATTACATTCCTTTTTTTCTTACATACAAAAGAAAGTTAATTACTTTTGCCAAAGAACAGAAAACCAGAGACATACATTTTATGGATTAAAGTAGCTGCATATTAAGACAATGAGATAAAAGTAGATGAGATTTTGAAAGCCTTAATTTATTTAACCCACTTATTGATTGATAAGCGCTCAAATTTATTATGCACCTTAAAGCCTTTCATTAAAATCATTATTTTGTGCAGGACAACACATAAAAGTCAATTGAACAGGAATTCATTTTATATTTTCTGTGGAGGCAACAATGAATTTAAATGTGTACATGTTTGTACGCCTGACCACAGGCAGTTACTGCATTATGCGAAGGACATCCTGCATCTGCATGTGGATGGATTTGCCCAAAAGCAAGCTAAGGAGACTCTCAAATTAAATCCAACAGGCTGTTCGCTGTGCCAGGTCGTAAATCAAGGCGGAAAAGATTGTTAGACAGGGACACACGCACACACACAGGGTGACAGGACGACGATGAAGAGCACTTTCGGGCGATGACTGTACAACAAGGACTCTCGACAGGAAGCGTGAAATGCGTAGAAATGTGAAATTCTATAATCGGAATGTGCAGGTAACCTAGGAGCACAGATACAGATACGGATACAGATACAAGCACCTGCAGGGAAAGAGAACGCAGGTAGCTAGGAATCTATCTGCCGGGAAAAACATCTGCCCCTATACTCTTGTGTTTGCGCAGTGATTTCCTTCTTCTTTGTGCTGCCTAGATAAAGGACCCTGGGCATTGGGCCCAAGGATCTACACGCACCAGTGTGCTATCCGAAAATCTGCTGCCTGTCAGGGTTTTTCCTTTGTGGCCTGGTATCGCAGGACGAAGAAAAAATGGGAAATATCTACGCCTGCGCAGCAATTTTTCAACTGTCGCTCCAGTTTTTTTTGTTGCCGTTGAACAACTCCTCTTCGGAGCAACGTTAATGTTAATGCCTCTTCCCGATTGTCTGCTCGACATCTGTTCCGACCCTCAGTGATGCCTCTTTTTAAGTGCGTTGGCATCTTTACTTTCTACAGATCCGTGCGGGAGAATCAGGAGTTGGAGGTGGAGAAAGGGGACGAGGATGAGGATGAGGATGAGGACGAGGCAAAGTCGAGGAGCAAAGAAACATGTTTCAGCTGCTGCTGCCACTGCGATCAGGTTCGGGTTTTTTGTACTCTGCTGATATGGATTTCTTAGGGTCCAACGAGTTCACGTTTGTGTTTTAGTCGGAACATATGTTTCCCTTAGGATTGGACTCCTTCTCTACAGCTGCCTGTGTGCTGATTAATTGGTTTAGATTCGACTTATATAGGTTATTGCTGCTGGACTGGGATTTTTCGGAGAAATCGTTGTGATTTTATGACGTGTGTTAAAGTTAATTTCATTAATTTCTTAGGGATTTTGTTAAGCTTTAGGGTAACAAACAAAAGGCTTAGCTTTATCAAAATAAAAAATATACTTGAGCAAAGAATTTGCAACTAAATCACTGTCACTGCGTGTTAGTAGGAAATGCCAATTATTTTCCTTGCAAAGCAAATCCTTTCATCAAATTATGTTTACCCCAGGGCAAAGAATGTGTGATAAACAACATGTTAAAAAATCGTCTGCATTATGGGGGGCACTTCATATACACCCACGCCCCAAGGACCTGCCACTTCAGCTGCTCTTCCTGCTCCTGGTTTTTTTCTGATGTCACATGTCTCTCGGCACTTACCCTAATTGCGACACATATGCCACATGTGGCAAAGTGGCAGCAAATACCACCGCGCTGAGCGGATAAAACCCAGTCTAAAATTCATTATCTTTCAAGAAGCGAGGAACGCTTGAAAAAACATTGTGCGTTACTCGGAAAGGGAATTACGCGGCGAAGGGGATAGGACCTGAGTATCGATATCCGGCTCAAAAATATTTGAATAGTCGTTGGCTGCTCCTCGCATTTCAATTTCAATTTCATTTTTTTTTTTTTTGTTTTTGGTTCGAAGAACGCACGCCGAGCACGTTCCAAAAATGCGAGTAGCCTTTGAAAATGTCGAAAGATAAAAATCAGGTAGAGGCCGCCAAAGACAGAGGCCAGCAAAGCAATGAAACCAGAAAGCAGAAAAACATAATTAACATTTCCATCGTCCGTTGGCTGGGCCTTTGTCCAAGTTGAATCTTCGGGGCTGCGCCTGCGCAGGATGCGTGGTGCGGAAACTTGAAATCAAACACGTGTCGCCGGAGTAGCCGCTTCTGCGATCTGGTTGGTCATTCGAAAAGCAGCTGGAAAAAATGATGCGAGCACACCTGCTGCCCAAAACAGAAATTACTGTTGCCGAGGATACACGAAGAAAACAGAAAACAGGATTTCGAAGCGAACAAATTTAAATTTTAAGCAGCTAAACTGAACCGAAACGGACTGGACAACAAAAAGAGAGATCAAGGCTTACACTGAGCGAAAAAAGATAAGCAGAATCACTGATTAGTCGTCACAACTGACAATATAAATGATTTATCTAAAGACTTTTTCATAAAAGCAATTAAATAGCCAATATATTTTTTAATGAATGCTATCATCAAAACAATGTTTACTAATCATGACAATATAATATAGGATTTTATTTCGGTCAAAATTCAAGCTCTTAAACCTGTTGATTTAACTCAAAAACTATAAATTATAAAGCATGTATTCTCCTTGTGTGCCAGTTGATTTGGATCTAGCTTGGAAATACACTTCCTGTAGCAGAAGGGATGGTTTGTAGAAACCGAAATCGAAATCGTAATCAATTCGTGTCACATTCAATTATTGAATCCGTTCGGCAGTGCATTTGTTCCCCTTTTACTAGTTGCTACTCCTCCGGCTGGCTTATCGCACTTGGTTTGAAAATGACATCCTGCCTGTGCTTCCGGTCGCCTTCACTTGGCCGCTGAATCCTTATGCCCATCCTCATTCTTGTTGCAATCCAGGACAGGTGGTCCAGTTATACAGTTATGTCGTCGACATTCAAGCAAAAAGAGCTCATAAAAATTGCACAATTATGTTTGTTGCACTCTTTGTTCTATTTGAAAGTTATTGGGATTGTTTTAAAAATAATGTAAGCATAAAATGAAAGGGCTATTTCAGTAGCAAAACAAATATTGCAACTGATATACTAACAACTTAAAAAGGTAATATAATTCTGTCTGCAGTTCTCATTGGTGCTTTTAAGGTGTATTTATCGTTTATTTAAACAACAAGCAAGATACACACATTAAATCAAACTTGGTGGCTAACGAACACGTTAGAATTTCATGAAAACTTTAATATTCATTTTGCTTTAAACCACGTGCGATGCGAAAACGCATTTAGTGATTTTGTGATTTCGTGTCATAATTTCATTTGGTGCAAATTTCCCATTCCCATTCGCAGTCCCTCGACAACCCAGCCAGCCAGCCAGAAAGCTAGCCGCAAGCCCAATAGGACCGAAAAGCAAACCAAACCGAGGGCGTTGCACATGGCACATGGCAATCCGCAGTTTGCAATCCGCAATTCGCAATTCGCCATTCGCCTTTCACCCGGATATGCGGTGGCAACTAGTGCGGGAAAAAGTGGGCTAGAGGTCATCCCCTTTTGGGGATAAGGATAACGATTCCTGTTCACAGTTCAAGTTTGCAGCTAGATGCGAGCTGTTTCCTTGAGCTTTTTTTATTCCGCAAACAATTTGCACAGGAAGAGCTGCTGAAAGGGTACGAAACCACCCAACATTCCACCATTTCCGGCTACTTAGATGCTTCCTCCCCAACCGAGTGTTTGTTTATCCGTGTGGATGAGTGTGCCTTTGGTCACTCCAGTCTGTGAAATTAGCACTTTATAGATTTATAAGCAAACAAGGACCACTTTTCATTCCGACTCGATGGAAAAATGTTTTCCGAAGCGATCAAATTGTAATCAAGGCACAAGAGCAGTTGTGGTGGACTCCCAAAACCGCCTAATGCCCACTAAGCCGCTCCAAAAAAAACACGACGACCATAGCCCACACTTCTCACCTTAATCCCAACTGCAGCCGGATCTCGGAGCAATTTCCTATTGCCAGTAGTTCCATTTGCTCAAGTACTTTTAAGTGCATTCCGAAAGTATTTATTTCCGGAATTCTCAATGTGGGTGGATGAGTGTGGCTGGGTGCCAGGCAAAGGATTGCGGTACAGCTAGGAAAATATTTACCTTGCACCGCAATGCAAAATGTTATTTAATTTGTGTGTGTGTGTGTGTGTGTGTTATGCCTGTGACAACAATCAGATTTTTGAGCAAAGTAATATATCAGGCTTCCGAGGAACTTTGCATCTGCATCAGGAAACAAATTATCCGGCAGTTGAATTTACCCATAAATCGCAAATTTGGCCCACAGCCGCTCAACAACGTTGGCAACGTCGGTAATTGAAACTTTGACAATTTAAATGATGTTGAGGCAGTTCATGTGTCAGCAGATTAATGGGGTTGGTTTCGGTCAGAGGGGCGATGGATGGGAGGGTTGATTTCAAATCTGTCAGAGCCCTAAAGGTTAAATAAAATAAATTGTCATTGACATTCAGCTCAAGAAACTTTGCACTCGAATCAATCAGATACCAGAAATGTGTGGTTTTTATCAAAAGCATGTTTGTTTTCTGACTGTTCGTGCCCAGTAACTAATAAATTTTTGGATTAGCAACTCAAAACGAATTGCATTATATTTTTAAACATTTGGCTATAATTATAATGACTAATCTCACTTAAAGATTTTTAACTAACTCTACAGTAATCTGCAAAGATTCTTCTGACTGTTTGTGTTTTCTGACCGTTTGTGCCCAGTAGCTAATAACTTTATAAACGAATACATTTTATTTTTAAGCATTTGGTAGTATGTATATAATATTCTTTATCAGATTAGTTACTTGAAGATTTTCAACTAAATCTAAAGAAATCTAATAACTTTTTGGATAAGCAACTAAAAACGAATAAATTTTATTTTTATACATTTGGTAGTATTTATAAAATAGTCTTGATCAGATTAGTCACTTCAACTTTTAAATCTATAGATTTGTAATTCCCAAACCTCCGGAGATTGTGATGTTTAATTTATTTGTTGGTTGCCGAATCCCTTTAAGTATATTGTCATTACAAAAAATGTCTCATTTCTTTAGTATTCCATTTTGCAGGGTAACGGTGCCAGGATACCAGGGCAATCTGCAGGCCGCCATCTCACATAGCGCTGCTCTGGCCGCCTGGGAACGGTTCGGTGTGGAATTCATCCTCACCTTTCTGGTGGTTCTGTGCTATTTCGTGTCCACGGATCCCATGAAGAAGTTCATGGGCAACTCGGCCGCTTCGATTGGAGCCGCCTACAGTGCCTGCTGCTTTGTGTCGGTGAGTTGACTTCACTTAAGTTGTTCAATCCCAAGCCCAAGGTTCAAGGAATGCCGGGCAGAAATCTGAAAACCAGAACCCGCCAAAACCGAACTGCGGAATGGGGAATTGCGAACCGAAAACAAACAACCGAAACGCACCTGCCGACTTTGACTCTGACTCTGTCATTTTGATGGTGCAAAATCGCAGCATGACAACGGACGAGATAAACTGGGTTCAGGTAGAGAGTTTAATCTTGGGATGGGGGATGCTGTATGCTGGATGCTGGCTGCTGGATGCTATAAGGTCGAGCGGACGGGAGAAGATAATTAATTTAGCACACGGACTCCCAGCACTGAGCCGCATTGTTGGCATAACGGGCAGTTGGGCAGTGGCGGCATTCAAAGGCGATGCGATGACTTGGCTAAGCTCTTGAGGGAGGGGAACCGATTAAAGTCAAGTTCACATCGACCGCGGATTGAATTACGACTAAGTGATTTGCGGAAAAACGCAAGCTTGAGGTCCCATTTAGGGTCTATTTTACCGTCATTAAGAGTTTAGAGGCATTTATTTAGAGAATTCACTGAATAAGTCCACACAAGTCTCATTTTCATATGATATGTACCATTGACAACTTTGGATAATGTCACTATTGGGTTGCTCTGTAGTTACTCTATTTATGACCTGCATAAAGTGGAGTGACAAATAAAAGTCCTCTTACTAAAACTACCATTTGTCCCTTGACATTTTGCAATCTTTTTTATGCATAAAGACAAAAAAGAAGCACAAGAGAGCTACTGGCCCACGAGTCCTTAAGCCATTTAAATTATTTAAACAATTTATCATCAACTGGCTTTCTAGGGAAAATGTCCCTTGCAGTGTTTTCCAACTTTTCCCACAAGTAGCCCTGTGCAGAATACTTTAAGCTAAAACTCTCTTGAAACGACACAAACGACTTTGACTGTTGACTGCTGACTGCTCACTTATGCAACCCCTGAAATACTTTACTAATTTGGCAGACAACTAACCAGAGTCTCCTTGCAGATGCCCTACCTGAATCCGGCCCGCTCCCTGGGTCCCTCGTTTGTGCTGAACAAATGGGACAGCCAGTGGGTGTACTGGTTCGGTCCGCTGGTGGGCGGCATGGCCTCCGGCCTGGTCTACGAGTACATCTTCAACTCGCGCCGCCACATGCGCCATACCAAGGGCAGCATTGACAACGACTCCAGCTCGATTCATTCGGAGGACGAGCTGAACTACGACATGGAGAACGAGAAGCCCGCCAAGTACCAGCAGTCGCAGGGCACCTATCCGCGTGGTCAGTCCAATGGAAACGGAGGAGGAGGCGGTGGCGGTCAGGTGACCGGCAATGGTCAGCACCAAACCGCCAATATGGGCCAAATGACCGGAGTGGTGGCCAATACCGGTCAGGGCAACTACTGCCAGAACCTGTACACGGCTCCTCCGCTGTCCTCGAAGTACGACCAGCAGCAGCAGCAGGAGCCACTTTACGGAGGAACCCGATCCCTGTACTGCCGCTCGCCCACTCTCACCAGGAGCAATCTGAATCGATCGCAGTCGGTGTACGCCAAGAGCAACACGGCCATCAATCGGGACATTGTGCCGCGTCCAGGTCCGCTGGTGCCCGCCCAGAGTCTCTACCCCATGCGCACCCAGCAACAGCAGCAGCAACACCAGCAGCAGCAGCAACAGCAACAAGTGGCCCCAGCTCCTCAATCCTCGCATCTGCAGAACCAGAATGTCCAGAATCAGATGCAACAACGCAGTGAGAGTATCTATGGAATGCGTGGCTCCATGCGAGGACAGCAACAGCCGCTCCAACAGCAGCAACAGCAGCAGCAACAGCTCCAGCAGCAACAGCCCAACATGGCAGTGCAGCAGCAGCAACAGCAACAACAGTTGCAGCCTCCGCCGCAAATGATGGCCGATCCTCAGCAGCAACCACAAGGTTTCCAGCCTGTCTACGGCACCCGCACGAATCCCACGCCCATGGACGGCAATCACAAGTACGACAGACGCGACCCCCAGCAACTGTACGGCGTGACGGGACCACGGAATCGGGGACAGTCGGCTCAGTCGGACGACAGCTCATATGGTTCGTACCATGGGTCAGCGGTCACGCCGCCGGCACGTCATCCCAGCGTGGAGCCGTCACCTCCGCCGCCGCCCATGCTGATGTACGCTCCGCCACCCCAGCCAAATGCAGTCCATCCGCAACCCATTCGCACCCAGTCGGAGCGAAAAGTGAGTGCTCCGGTGGTGGTTTCCCAGCCGGCCACCTGTGCCGTGACCTACACGACCTCGCAGGGAGCAACGATGGCCAGCCAACAGCAGCAGCAGCAACAGCAACAGCAGCAGCAACAACAACAGCAACAGCAGCAGCAACATCAGCAGCAGCAGCAACAAATGATGATGCAGCAACAACAGCAGCAACATTATGGAATGCTGCCGCTGAGGCCCAACTGAAAGCGGCTGTCATGGGGTCCGGTGACCACGCCCCCGCCAGGGATTCACGCCCTCGCCCTCCAACCCGGAGGCACCATGACCCTGCACCGCTGCAGCCTAGCCAAGCAGAGCAGTTTGTTTTAGTCGTAGTCTTAGTCGTGGTAGCACTCGGGCACCGCATCCAAAGGAAATGTACGCAAAAGTCTCAGCCCTTAGTCTACCATAGTCCTAGTTTAGATAGATGCAGCATAGCCACATTGTATTATTCAAAGCCAACGCGACGAGGAACTCACACCTAGCAGCAGACAACGATGCGATCGAGCATAGAACATTTAATCTTAAGGAACTAATATTGGCAAACCTTTACTATACGAATGTAGATGATCTACACTGAAAGATAGCTGCATTTAATAATAACTAATAACTTTAATTTTGTGAAAAAAATAACTCCTATTGTTTTGTCCACACCTTCCGATTGCAAACATTTATGTTTCGATTATTTCTTTTCTTTTATGAAAGAAACTCATTATACCATGTTTTATCTTATTTTTGTTTTGTTGTAAAACCAAAAACTAGACTGAAAGATATTACTCTGCATTTACCAAGCCCATTCATTATGTTATATTTCCAAAATCGTTTCAAAGTTCATTTATACATCTTCCATTTTCCAAGAATTATCAAAGACTTTTGTTTGTATTTTGATTTATGGATTTTAATTTGTACATAACGTCATCTTAGGTTTAGTGTTACACATAGCTTAAGAATTCCTGTATATGTTACGACCTTAAGCTGACTTCTGAGTACCAGCTTATATTGATATATCTATGTATTTAATATAGCTATATTTACTTAGTGCTAGCCTAAGAGAATTATGCAAATATATAAAGTATTAAAAGAAAGACAAGCTCATCCAATGCTAGGACTTATTATTTAAGTCAGGGATACGCCTGCTAATGAATAAATGTAACAAGCTAATTATAATCATTAAATACTTATCCGAATCATCAAATTTAAATTCAAGGCATTCTAAAAACAGACTTATTCAATTTATTATGTTTAGGTTGAGGTATCGTCTAAATCACCATGCTTGTAGGAGATATTAATAGTTGGGAACCTAAATGTCAATGCTTGGAGTACATATGTATTTGGCTGAGGCATTCAATGGTGGTTAAATTAGTTAGGTGGAATACATGAAAGAGAAATACAGGCGGACATCGGCCAGTGGAAAGTGCGGCACCAGCTCCCGTATCTTGACAAAATCGGTGCCGTGTTGCTCGAAGGCCTTCGAGAGGCGGACGAGATCCTGGGCCTTCCAGCGATGGTAGCGACATCCTCGAGCTGTTTCAATCCGCGCCAGGCGACGACGGGCTATCGTCAGGTCGAATCCGTGACGACGGAGGATAAAGAGAGCCTGCTCCTCCTCGATGTTGTAGTGGCTAGCCGCAAAGTCCAGGTATTCGCAAACATTCCTTTCGTCCTGTTCCAGCAGCTGGGGCGACCACAGGATCGAGGCTCGATGCTGCAGCTGCTGCAGGTCCTGTTCATGCTGTGCCGGTGGCACGAACTCCGGCAGAGTGGCTGCCTGTCGGCGCCAGTAACGAGCATCTCGCTTCTCCTTCCGCGGGGACATCCTTCGATCAAAAACAAAAAATAACTGGATCAACAACGTCGTAAAAAGTCACAGGGTTGCAATTATTCGTTTTGGTGTTGGTAAACACATCAAAATAAATCACTTTCTTGGGTCAGCTGTTTTATGCATACCAAGTTTTTAGAAAGTACTGCAAATCACTTCAAGGCGATTGACTCGCTATTTTGAAATATGTATATGAGAATACAATGGTTAAGTGGCAAAATCTGATAATCGTATCATTTAATATCGTATATGAATAAAATTACATTACAAAATTCCTGATTTGGTCGCACCCTCCATTTGTTGTGGGGTCCATGCGGTTTTGCTGTTTCTAAAATTTCCTTACCGCTCGTTTCGATAATTTTTCAGCCGATAGCTTTTCCGTGCAACCCAAAATTCTTGGCGGGAAACAAATTGAGTTAACTTGTCGGCCATTTTAATTTTTGTTTGGGTAGTTTGGGCATTCCCGGAAACGTCTGAATCTCTGAAAATCAGTAAGCTGTTCGTCAGCTGTTCCATACAAACAGAACTTTCTGAAATTTCAGCATTTTAGCAACCCAGAGGCTGCTGAAAATTTTTTTGAATTATTGAAGAGCCATGGTAGTCGTTCTTTCCTACTAAAATAAAGAAGGCAACACTGGACCTAACGTGAGAGTAACCACCAAATATATGCAAATAAAGAAGTTTAGACAGTCCATAGCTTGTTATTAAATCCAATAGTTCGACTTTCTACTTTGGGAATACCCAAAGTATAAGTACTAAAGGGAAAAGCAAATAAATTGTATCGATGTATGTATGGATACTATGTCGTAGGGATAGCAATTGTGCTCGATACTTTTGCTACAATTTAATGATATTAAAGTGGGTAGATGTATTTAGATCAAAACATAAAATGAATTGGGCCATTTCATTAATAGTAAAACATTTGAATATATAAGGAATAAATGAGAAGATAACACTAAATATCTTCATACAAGACCGAGTCCAAGTCGCAGTATTCCACTCCCGACTCGGAGATGTCTTCCGTAGAAGAACTAAATTCGTCTTCGTCTGGATTGGAGTTGTCATTGCTTATCTTCTTACTAAGATTTCCTTCCCACAACCCCAGACCCTCTGATGGTGGAGGTCCTTGAGCCCTCTCCGTATCAAAGATCAACCATTGGGATTGTTGTTGAGTGTAGAGCGAATTGAGAAGTGTTGGCCAGTAGACTAGTAAATCAACCTTGGTCAACTTAACATGCAAGTAATAGCCTAGTTGTTTTTGTGTTTCAATCGCAACCTCGCCCAGAAGATTCAGGATGCATCTCTGAGGAGGAGAAGTGGTTGTCACGCTATACTTTAAGATATTACCCTGCACAATGAGATTATAGTCTGACGTCAGCTGTTCAATTATTAGTTCGATATATGTGTGGGTCTGGTGCCATTTGACCCTGGGATACACTGACCCTTCAGCTTTCATGCCACACTGCAAGGATTTCGATACTTGGTTCATTGAAGGATCTTTAGGGCCTGCTTTAGCAAATTTATCCCTGTTCAACGCTTTTGCGCAGGATTCTTTAAACGGGATGGTTTCCTGATTTTCTTGCTCATTCAGAATGTTGTAAAGGAATTTTTGAGTATGCTGTTTCTTCGAAGGGCTGTTAGTGTTCAACTCGTTAGACAGGACGTTTAAGAATGCAGTAGAACTGTCTAACGAAGAATCGATCTGAGCATGATTTTCCTTAACTGCTTTTTCATCATCCTCCAAAGGTTCTAAAGAATCTTTCTCTTCGTCTTCTCTTTTGACTGACACCTTATCATTTATATGTTGGTCAATTGCTGTCATCATTTTTTTCTGGAGGGGCATAGTAATATCCGCATTTTGACATGCTCCATTCAAACTATTCACTTCGCTGTTTGGTGCAGAAGGGAGATCCTTTTGAGGGTTCTCCAAATCGGTATTTACATTAAAATAACCAATGTTTTCTTTGTTGGCATTCAACTTTTCGATTTCTTCTTTCCGATCCTCAGACATGGTTCGCAGAACATCGATGACTTTGCTGTCCAACCTAGCGAATCCTCGACGAATCAGCTCCTTGCGCAAAAAGATTTTGTACACACTTGTTTGCATTGTTCTGCACTCTTCTATTAAAGCGATTTCCCTTACATAGACCACATTCAGAACGGCGAAGTCTACGGTTATCTGCATTACCTGTCCATCAATGGGGCCAAAGCTTTCCTCAACGTATCGAATTGAGTCGGACGACCACTTGCTTTCCTCTCCAGCTGCCACTACTCCGGACAAACGAATATCCATGGCCAGAGGAGGCTGGGTCCTAAACTTCTCCGGACACTCCAGCAACTCACTGGGCTTGATCTGCACTAGTTCAGTGCCATGGTCCATAAATTGGACAGTGATTGGACGTGTGGAGGGGATATCTACGATTCTTACCCTCCGCAAGTGTCCGTGATACAGCACAAAACATACATCGTTAACATTATATGGGGTATGTATCTTTTGGGGCACTCTCAAGCTCATTTTTAGCACTAGTGTCGATGGATTCGAAGGATAGGGCACATCCATCCAACTGGGTGAACCTTTGCACTTGTACTTCATGGGCAAGACGGCCATGTGAGCTGCGTTGTAGGCTTTGTGTAATTTGCAACGGATTACGGTCCCCGATTGCTGCAGCGGATTACCAGGATACGGAAAATCAGCTTTGACGTAGTGGTGACGCTTATCACATAAGCTCCGGTTACACTCCCCGCTGCTCAGAAGGTACGGGCAATAGGGAAGACTATCAACCGATTTCTGCTGGCTAGTGCGCATAAATTGGGACATCAACTCCTTCGTATCGACGCCGTGATCCTCAAGGAACTTCATGGTGCGAGGCCACTCCCTGCAGTTCCCCTCGTCCAGCATCAAGTAGCTGACCAAGGGCTGCACGTTTTCCAGTGGTGGCTTCAAAACATTTCGAATGATGTCCGCCATGGTGTGGAATCGAAAGGCAAACTTCGACCAGGACTCCGGAAGACTGAAGTGGATGAGCAGCTCAATGTTTCTCGCTGGCAGCGGTTCCTGGAGCTGGCTGTCGCTGATCAACAACAATTCGTGTGGTTCCTAAAAGATGTTGTTCAAATTTATCGATTAATCCCTAATCCATTAATAATAAATTACGAATCTTATGATGAACCAAAACTTTCTGATATACAGAACAAAAAATGTCATATGTAATCATTTGAACTAGTTAAATAAAGATAGACAATTTGTCTATAAATTAACTCACCTGATGCATTACCTTTGAAATGCCCAAACATGTATGTCCTGCTTCGGTCAGAACAATTTTCAGGTCATCCAACTCCTGATTTTTGCAATAGATCAGTGTACGCTTCTTTGGGGGCTTTTGTTTTGCCAGGATATCGAGGAGCTGCTGCTGCTTCAAGGCGGAATTTCGCAGGATGAACTTCAATTTTAGACCCCCATATATGGCAGCCGCGAAGAAGTCTCCAAAAAGAATCAGTGGTTTAACTGCTCGCTTCAGGAGCTTTTTGAATTTTTCAGTATTCCATTGCTGAGCCACAACGACCAACTGCATCGTTTGACAGCCCATGCTGTTTATTTTCTGCAGCACTTCGTCAAGGAGCTGCGAATTTCCCAGACGCATACGATCGAAGTCATCAAAGATTAGGTACTGCAACCTAACCGGATCCAGTAGAGTTAGTCCATCGACATTTAATATATCTAACAAATGCGCCGGCGTTGTCACTAAAACGCCGCACGAGTTGAGCAGCATCAAGTGTACATCAGTCATGCCATGGGCATGAGTATTGACCACTTTCAGCTGCTGGGTGTCGTAGTCCCTCATCAAGAAGTCGCAATGGGAGGCCAATTTGTTGGCATTGTCTACAGAATCCACAACCAGGATGGTCAGGGGACCACAGGCAATCCGTTCCAAGCAGTTGGGTGGAGTGTCCTGCATAGAACGCAACACCGAGGAGCAAAGAACGGGTAAGTAACTCCAGGAGCGACCTGCTCTCGAGCCATCCACCAGGATGAGGGATCCGCCCTGGACGAGATGCGGCCAGGCATAGCCTTGCGTCACCAATGGTGTGCGAAAATTCAGATCGTTCATGGCCATCTGAATCTCCTTGCAAAGAGGGATCTCCTTCAAACTTGTGACTGGATCCACTGACACGAGGCTGTGGACTAGCACCTTTCTTGCCATGTTAATATCTTTATTTCCTACGACGGATTTAAGTGTCTTCCCCGAATTTCTTATCAAAGTTGGGGAAATAGAATTTTTTACTCTGTTGTCGTTGTTCTTGCCAAGCATGTCATTAAAAATGCGTTCCATTTTATTCATGCAGAAGGATACTGATTGAGAATTCGATGGGTCAGGTCCATTTCCATTTGCATATGCAGGCGAAGTTTTTGCTACTGAAGAAGCAGACAATTTTAACATCACGGAAGTAGGCACAAAATTTGGCTTAGGTATTATCACCGGCGGAAGCCTTTCAGCATTAGTTAAGGTTAAAGATTCAGTTAAGTGCTCTAACGATCCACACGAGGCTGATGATGCCGTATCATTTACAATAATTGGATTCGATTGGGAAAAGGTTTGCTTAATTGGTGATAGCTGCAATTTTGGCAAACAATCAGATAAATTATTGATTTCCAAGGAATTATTATCCGACTTCCTACTTTTCTCAAACAATTAGTTATATCTGATGTCAGAGCTTCTTGATTATTGTTTGTTGGTCTGCTATTGAGAGCAGTCTCCACGGAACTGTCGCGGTTGCTTTGAATTTTGCTCAGGACCTTGCCAGTTTCCGGTATGAGTAAGGGATTGCGACTCTGAAGAAGCCCGTCCAGCTTCTGGTACTGAGTCTCCGGGCGGGTCAGATTCCGTCTCGCTTCCTTTAATGCAACGAATGAGGACTCTTTTTTCTCCAATGTCTTACAATTGACAAAAGATAAATCAGTGTAATTTTGCTTTAGCACCACAACTGGCTGAAGTTTCAGGGAGTTTTCAGAGGATTGGCTGCCAGCCACTAATTCAAAAATGCCTCTAACACGCGGCCGTGCTTCGAATCCCAAGTAGTTGTTCTCGGCCAGTTCCAAACTAAAATCATCAGCGGAAGAGCTGACCATCAACAAATTCTTGTCATCGTAGAGGGCATGCTTCCGCTCTATTAGAAAATTTGCAGCATCCTTAAAAGAGTCACTGTGACTGTTGCATCTAATCATAAGCTGGCCGAAATCTCGATTCGTTGAACTTCGATATAGGACTTGAAATGTGAGCTGGATAGCTTCCTCCAGCTGCTTGTCAAAGGTTTGAATGGCTGATTGGCACCAGGCACTGCCATCTTGGGGGGTGATAAACGCCACGCCACCCCATTTGATGTCCCAGAAACGGCGACTTAAGTGATCAGGCAGAGGCCACAGTTCATCAACAGGGCAGCTTAAGGTGAATCCGTAATCCTGAAGCCAGATCAGGTACTGATCGGCCTCCAACCGCCTACGCACCACACCCCTTAGGAGCTTGGGCGGATTCCAAGGCAAGTAGCGCACAATGACTGGCTGAAAATCATGAAAGATATGCTTCGCCAATTTACTGGGGCAGTAATCCGCTAAATCACGCTCTATTTGGCGTAAGGACGAGGCGGAGTCCTGCACATCTTTGCATTTAACGTAGCTAAATTGCTGGGGACTCACATAATGAGTTATCAGAATTGATTCTCCTAGGTCCATATCAAGTTGGTCCTTCGCTTTGCCTATATTTGAATCGAAATAAACATTCAGTTTTAATTCTAATCAAATAAATAATTATATATATAAAAAAATCTGTAAAATCTATACCCGATTATTACGAAAAGAAGTGACATAACTCTGGTAAAAATAGACACTCGTAAATAAAACGTGTTCAAGTTAAAAATTAAAGATGTGTTAACTTTATTTGAATTATGTTTATATTGTTCGTACGGCAGGTATTTGATATAATCGATCGTTTTTGACTTTTGCAATATAAAAACGAATTTTTAAAGTTTTATCCAGTTCGCTTTAAAGCTGAATAAGTCAAGTTTTCGTAAAACAGACGGACCGACAAGATATATCCACTTTAATGATTTATTCATTGTGTTGGAAATCGACTGAATCTCGTTTAAATTAGAAAAAGCCAACTAATCGATTTTTACTGTAACTAGTTACAAAGAATTTTTAGCGCAATTCTCAATTGTACATACTTGTATGTATTAATGGTAAGCTAAAAGAAATGACTGTTTAAATAAACTTGAGCTTAAAGAGCGTTTACATTTTCGCAGTGCACTCATGTGGAAATTACTGCGATTTCCTCGCGTCAGAAACTTTGCACAGAGCGAGCCAAAAATTGTGAGGCCAGCCACAGGATTAAATTTGTGGATTCGGATTGTAATTTAGTAGAGAGTAAATTAGCTAATTTAAGTTGCGAAAAGCGAAAGCAAATGCGGCAAATGCGACGGCAACTGCAGCTTCCAAATGGCAAAACAAAGGAACCTGCTAAGCCGCAAGTAAGTAGGTCCTTGTGCCTATTTGCTGTTTGTTTGCGCTGCACTAGATCCTGCTGCAGTGGCTCCGACCCCTCCTCCACATCCTTGGGGCAAGTGGCAAGTGGTGCTCCACAATCGGCAGTGGGGCGTGCTTCAAGTTGTTGTTTTATCAACACTTTAAGAGCCGGAACTGTTCCCAAAGCCAACTTACATATATAAATGCAAGGCAATCTTTTTATATATTATTTGAGTTAATTTAACATGTGCGTAAGCAAATAGGGGATTTGTCGCCAGAGCAATTGAATTACTGCGATTTGAATCTCGAACCACCCCAAGTGTTTCGTCAGAAAAAAGAGTGGTTATCATAAAAAATCACAGAACAATGCAGTGGTTGAGCCAAGCATGTAAGCCAGCCAATATGTAAATCGGATCATCAGATATCGATCGAAAAAACCTTTGTAAATGCAGCAGCCAAAGCAAATTAATTCTAAATAGCAGTTTTACTCACTTGAAGAGGGACTGGAATTACTGCCGTCGCACATCATTATAATAGAAAACTGCAATAAAAATCTCTATTTTTAAAAATAATAAATAGATTGGTTTATTTAGGATACTTACATTAAACGATTTTAAATCGGGTTACGGAATTTTGAAAGACCTAAAAATATAATTTACACGAATACATAGTTAAAGTATGAATGGTAGATATTTGTATGGTCAGTAAAAATCTATTTTGGTTTCACTTTCATAAAAGTCTTATTTGTTTTGTGTATTATAATATACGCCATTATACAAACTTTGCATAATATTTAAGAGTAATGTTTTGAAAATAAATTTATTTGTCACAATTTTCGAACAAAATGTAGTCATTTTCGTTTTTTATCTTTCTTCTTTTCAAAAGTGTTCCTTATTAATATACTTAAAATCAATTACGGTATGCTTATTGACATTGTTGTTTTTATCACTTTTGCTAGAAAAAAGTGGCTCCAAACAGCATGAACTTTTAAAAAATTGATTAATGGAAATTAAAAAAAAAAACAAAAAGCAATTGTTTTGTTATAGTTTAGCAAACTGGAATAATTTTTACGGGAAACGACCCTTCACAACAAGATTGGAAAATCCGACTGACTTCCAATAGGCATTTCCAGGCCCTCACTTGTAAACAGAGAGCGCCATTTTTTAAAGTGTCAGCGTAATTGGAATGGCGTAAACAAACTCGACTAAGAACTTGAAACCCGATACACTTTGGGACTAGAAATAATTTAATGTGTTTGGACAAACAGAAATCCACAAAAACAATAGAAATTAATTCATTTATTTCTTCGGCGCGAGGAGCAAGATTTTACGATCTTTTACTCTTGTAATTTAATTTTTTACAAACAATTGTTTTCGGAAAAAAGAAGTGCCAAACAAGTGTGCTATTAAATTGGCGTTGTTTACAACGACATAGCGTCTTTTTTATTTTGATTCTAAATTGGTTTTACCCGCCAGTACGTAAGTGAAAATCACAAACTTTTACTTTTTACAGGTTGTTGTTGAGATGGAGAATCTCCTGTGAAACTTTAGGGGTGGAAAAAGTTCGATAGCATCTCTAATCGTTTTTTAAATGCCTGAGATCGGTTAGAATTTAAAAAGGAAGTATATTTGCATTTATCGTATATTGATCACCAAATATATTAAAATCAACGATTTAGTTAACCGACTGTTCAAATTCAAACACCTAACAATTGAGTTATAAAAGAAAATCTACAACGTATATTTATTTTATCTTCAGATTTGATACTATCCACTTGGCAACGGTGAAAATTAGCGGCACATATTTTTCTACATAATTAATGCCAATCTGGTCCCAATAAATCCTTTTCACCCATCCCGCGCTTGCTAATTGCAATACAAAACGCCAGCCATTATTCAACCCAAAAGTAGGGGTTATTTTCCTCACAAAAATAAAAATACAACTTTTTACCCCTTTAACGGCCACAATTTTCCCTTTTTTCCTTTTGTTTGTCGCTTCACCAGGTCGCCCATAAAAGTTTGACTGGGCAGGGTTGTCGCATGTCCCCGCAACCCCTGCAGCATTTGCTTTTTATTCCTTTTTTATTTGATTGTTTCATATTTATGAGGATTATATGGTTGAGTGTTGAATATCAGAATAAAAGTGGAGTTGGGGGTGGACGTGTGGTAATTTATATGCGGCTTAGAGCGACACTCAATTTAACATGACTAGCGGTTAACTGAAATACTTTCCCCAACTTCTCGAGTTTAAGATCACAAGGTATGAAATAAATTTGTGGGGAAATTATGATACCTAAATAATAAATTTTTAGAATGTTTTTTATTTGTATAATAATAATATTATTTAAATTATTTGGGTTATTACTAGTTTTAGTAAACGTTAATTATTGGGACTTTAAATTCCATTTATGAATGTTTCGTTTTCCTAAAACAAGAATTTCTAATAAGGTCGATAGCTCATTTTCTTATATGAAAATATGTTGATGGAGTTAAAATTTAAAAAGCATTTCAAGTGAAGCAATGAAGTCGTATCTTCTTATCGTTGCCACCAGCCATTTTACCATTATTTTTTTCATATTTATTTAGTTTTCATGTTTTTTTTAAATGTTAGCTATGAAATTTAACAATATACCACACACTTTGACATTTATCAAGTTTAAGTAGTTCCTGAACTAGTTCCTCTTTCCATTTAACCTTGTCCTAGTATTCCATGATGAGTGAACAGTAATTCAATAAAACACCAATTAATAATTATCATCTTATTTTTATTTTTTGTAATAAAATCGATGAACAATTAATTATTAACAAAAATATTAACTAAATTCAAAACGAACTAAGACTACGACCCAGGTTGGCAGCTCTTTTGTGTGACGTGACACTGCCGCCTCTTTCCAACACTAGTCGATAACCAGTCAAAATGGCGCCCGCGAGCTATCGTATTTTCCCAGCAAATACTATCGGTTCGGCAGCGCATCACACACACAAAGCGAAAAAAAGAAAAATACGGGTGACTTGCGAGCGAATATCTCCGAAATTCACTGAACTCCGACGCCGAGATTTGTGCTCCGACCAGGATAATTACTAGTTCGTGTGCTCCGTCCGCCCAAGCCAGCAAAATAACCAAGTTCAACATACGCCTGGACAACATTATGTCGAAGAACAAAAAACTGTCGCTGTCGGGCGGCGATGCGGCGGAGAAATTTATTTACAAACCCAAGGATCTGATATGGTAAGCCAGGACGAAGGACCCCCAAGATTTCCGTGATTTCCCAGCTCCTGCTGGCCGAAAAAAAAAACCAAAGCAAACACATAACCTCAATTCCGCACGGTTAGCGCTCCAAAAAAAAAAAAGCAGTGAAGTGTGCATAAAAAAGCAATTAGCGCTGGTTTTTCGACCGCCACGCAGGGCATTACCCATGGAGTTCCTCCCAAAATGGAGCTAACAAGAGTTACATGTGTAAAATCCGGGCGGCGACGTCGACATCTCTGCGTTGGCGCTTTTTACGCGCGCGCGCCTTTTTTTAGTGCGGCTATAATATAGCCCAATACGATTCTCCGCCCAGTTTCAAATTGAGTTTCCTAATAGCATTTCCTTTATTCCAGGGCCAAAATGAAGGGCTTCACACCGTGGCCTGGAATGGTAAGCGATCGGAATGTTTACGCTGCGTCGACGTCGCGTCGCTGCCGAATCCTCTGCCGCCGCCTCTGCCATGTTGTTGTGTTTGTTTTCGACTGTACTTTTCCATGATTCTGTCGGCGTCTCTGCCAGCGTCGCTGCCAAAGGCCACGCACTTGCACACGCTTTGTTGTTGCTGCCGGCGGGCTGGAAATGGCCTCCTCTTAAATGGAGCCGCTATCGGGGGCTATAGGCCATAGCTTTCGATCGTGTACAGCCGCAAGAAGCCAGCATGTAATGTTATTGAAGAGGAGGAGGGGGGTGAGGAGTGAGGTGACGCGCGTCGACGGAAGGAGTGTATGGAATTTGAACAGGCGTTGCCAAGGATATAACCCGAATCCCCTTTCGATCAAATTTGGTGAAAAGTTTGTGCATATGTTCTTTTTTTTAAATGCATAGAACTATAATTTTTATTTTTAATTTTAAGAGATACAAATTGGTTCTTTATTATCTGTTAAAGATAGTACAAATTGTATCTGAGGAAAAGCTTAAACTCTGCAGTATATGTAGTTTTCAAGCAAATTTGTTAAAGGCTTCTTGTCTGACTAGATTTTTTTCATCTCTATTTAGATATTAGCATTGTTATTGCTAATATTGCATATTTATTTAATTGCTTTTTAAGGCTGAGGGAAAACAAATTCAACAAGAAGTGACTAGAACTTGTTGAAGAGTTTTTGGTCTGATTTATTTGATTATTTCTACAACATTTTGTTTATTTTATTTTTATGTGAATTTTATGGGTTTCTGAACCCTTTAATTCTCGAAAGTGTCAAATATTAAATTCTGGTTATTTGATTGTTGATCTTGTGAGAGGTAACAATTGGTTATTTGTGTTTTTGAATTATTTTCATGGAAATTTTTTAAATGTTTATTTTAAAAATATTCGGTCTTTATTATTTTTTATTTATCTTTTAGGAAATTAGAAAATTTATTTCTTAAAAGTTGAAAAAATTACGTTGGGCTTTTAAAATATTAAATTGTTTTTTCTTTGATATTTAATTCTTTTTTTTTTTTTTTGTTATTTGATCAGCAATATTGATCACAGCTGAACTTTTTAGATGCAAAATTCGCCAAATTTGATTCGAATCGGAAGCGTATCAAAAGTGAGTTTTAAAGTAACCATTACTTATTATAGATTGTGGATCCACCCCTTGATCTGCTCAGCCAGCAGCGCCGGGCGAATACCAAGTGTGTGTTTTTCTTTGGGTCTAGGAATTTGTAAGTATAAATAGAGAAAGAAAGAAGTGAGCATAATTAATGTATGTGACATTTAACAGTGCCTGGATTGAGGAGAACAACATCAAGCCCTTCGAAGGGCCTTGGAAGGATGAACTGGCCAAGGTGAGCAAGCCCGCTGCTTTCCGACACGCCATGACGGACATCGAAAAGTATATTGACGACCCCGCCGAGGTAGACGAGCAGGTGAACAAAAGCTGCGGTGCGCCCAATCACGCCACCGAAGCCGATTTCGACAAGATCCGTGATGGCCTAGACAGCGAGGAGAATGTGGCAGACGAGGCGGCTGCCGATGCCAACAACGGAGTGGTGGCCCATGTGGTGGGCAGCCCTGATGAGGGCGAGGGCTTGGATGGGGAAAACAATGCAGATTCTTCAGCGTCACCCGCGACGACGCAGGCAGCCACAACGAAGACAGGTGCTAAGCGGACGCCCAAGGCCAAGTCCGTGGCCGCCGTGTCTGTAAAGTCGGCCAAGGGATCGGCCACAAAATCCGCACAGAAACGGCGCACCTCCGCGCAACAGACGCCCAGTGGGACATCAAATGCCAAGCGAGGCAGGCGTGCTGCTTCCGGAGAAGCAGCGCGGGATGCGGGAGTTGACGATGCCAACTCC